AGGGACGTCAAAATTCTAGTGGGCGTGGGCAAGTGGGGAAAAGGTGGGGATCGTGGCAAATGGTTGAATTTCACGCACGTCTTTGCCGACCCAAATTTCTCTTTTGTGCCATGTTCTGTCCAATTTGCCCATTTGCATTCTCCTAGTGGGTACAAAGTAACATGCACTGTTTTTAAAATAATAAGTTTCCTGTATGAACTTAGACAAAGCAATAAGAAGACGTAATTTTTCTGAATCTAAAGAGTTAGGAGGTGAGAAAATAGTCTTAGGGCGAGTTAAAAGGACAGATTGAGGGTCAAAATAACAATGAAGACCACTAAGCCGAATAACAGAGCTAATAGTATGTCTGCTATGGTATCAAAACAAAGTTAACCAAGGAAGGTTTAGTGTGATGACGAATTGTTTTTAGGCACAGACACATAAGGAGGACTCATCGATTTCTGCAAGTTAGGGATTCAGAACATATTCCTAAATGGCTCTGGAAACAAATGGAATCTTCAGAACCCATTGATGGTGAAAAAAAAGAAGACGGAGCTCCTCTATTGCGAAATATATTATAGAAACAGGATATAAAATTGACGTTTACACATCTTTTAAACCTATCTATAAAACACGTTTGGGGCGTATCCTAAAGTTTATGGAAGCCCTAGCAATTAGAAAGTTCAAGCCACCTTTATGCGTTCAAAATCAATTCGTCATCAAATTAAACCTTCCTTGGTAAATTTTATTTTGATACCATAGCAGATGTACTATTACCTCTGCTACTTGGTTTAGTGGTCTTCATTATTATTTTGACCTTGACTATGTCCTTTAAGTTGACCTAAGTCTATTTTCTCACCCCTGAACTCTTCATTAATTCCACATATATTCCTTTGACAAGTCCGTGTTTGATCAGATTGTTCGAAATGTGTTGCACAAATACAGATTCAGATGACAAGGACAGTGAGCACTTACGCCAGTGTTAATCTTTGCCAAATTCACCTCTGCAGATATCTAACTTCTCTTTGAAAGCGTTCATCGATGGAGTTAATACTACTGAATCAGGTAAGGAAATCCACTCGTTGTCCACTATAAGAGAATTTAAATTCTGCACGTGAAACATAAAGTGACAGTTTATACGCTGTTGACCGGCTTAATAAAGTTGTCTGAGTTTAACGGAAATGAAGTCACGAAGTGGCGGATAACACAAATATTCATTGTAACTTTTACCACCATACGCATCAAATATCAGCAGGCACCTATGTAACTCTATTATTTAAGTGGAAGACCCTTCAAAATACTCCCTAACATATTAAAATCATGATAATTCAATTTTTCTAGAAGGATCAGACAAGCTACTGGTGAACAAGGTAAGAACCGAAATCCCGTAACCAATCCACTCACATCAGCAACGTCGAGCTTCAAATCCAGCAGTGGCCTATTACCGTGAAGGTCATTTATCAATTCAATGTTTCTTGGATAACATATAACACAATTTTATTTAAAGTTATCGACAAAAAAATTTTTAAGACGAAATTTCAACAGAAAGTGATATTTAGGTCCAGGCATACTTCTAGGAAGAGTGAAATTTTGTCAGCAACTGGATTTGCAAAAGTATTAGTTTGCGTTTAGATTTTTCATATGTCTGTAAATGGTGATAGTTTTGTATCTAGTTAATATTCAGATAAAAGATAAATACATTAATCAGAGCTAGAAGTCTTGCAGTTTATTTGCTTCAAATTAGTCGACTGAGTGCCAAAATGTCATATACGTTTTGAATAAGCTCTAATAGAAAATAACACAGACAAAAGAACTATATGATGGGTTTCGGCTTTTTTCGCAATGAACTCTGAGTTGTTCCTACCCGTGAAATAAGATGCCATTTCAGGGTTTCAAGCTTAGAAGTTTCAGTAACTGTGTTGTTCTCATGAAGTAGGGTCTCTAGCCCTCTGTCGACCATCCCTTCTCTTCCACGCTGACTGCAAGCTGGTTACTAGCACAGATTTATGTGTATGCCGGCCAGGAATCAAATCACAACGTGACTTGCGAGCATTATACCACCGAACTACTGATGCTGTTCCACAAATAGTCACTTAACATCTACACGGAATACACCGATGGGTTTCTTGTTATCCCAACACAACTGCAGGAAATAAGATTTGAAAATCGAAAAGACTAATATTCAACAATGCAGTTTATTAGAACAGATAAAAAGGCTGTTTTATAAGTGTGACCTTTTAAATCACATCTTTTGACCTGGACACGAATCGTGCTAAGCACTCATCAGCTAAGGATCAGTGCGTCAAATGAGTACTGCTAGCAGTGCCACCCAAGCGTTTAATCAGAATACTTAATTTAATATCTCAGTGCAATCATAATAACCTTCAATTTTTGAAAAGATATGAGTGAAATTCCCGTCATGTTGATTCACCTATCTAAGTTTCTCGTAACCATTATGGTGGTTTAAATGACTAGATGAGTCCAAGTGTGCAATAAACTAAAAGCGTTAAGCTGGTAATTTCGAGGTAAGATGGAACGTGGACTTCAGCCTAATATATCACAAAGAATGGTTCCCTAACATGGATCCAACTGGCGCTGGAGATAACCTGTCGTTCCTCTCAGAGACTGTCCACTAAAGATGAGTCTTTTCAGTAAAGATTTCCCTTACAGGAAAGAATGCTCCATAACTGGACTGTCTCTGCGCAACTAATCACAGGCACGTGAGATATTCTCGGATCCAACTTAAAAGTTGGCGAGGCTCACGTGAATAAACGCGCGGAATACATCTCAAACCTTGGGTTAAGGGAAGGTTGGCGTGGTTTGAAAACTGAAAATGGCTACACAGTGAGTATCATGAACACTAGAAGCACTCAGTTAATGGCAAGTTAGTAGGAGGTACGTAACGTTGAAACAAATAAGTGCAACTTCTTCCTGCCTTAAGACGTCTCTTTACCACACAAAACTAAGTCAAACGGTGAAGGTCAGCATTCAATGCTAAGTAAAGAATGCTTTAGGCTTATATTTTTTATGCGAATTATTTGCCCTTACAACCTCGAAAAAAGCTCTTCCAAATAGTGAACAGGTATTCTAGTGGTTATTCCATTAGAATCGGATTTTGTTTAGGTACATCGCGTATTTTCTCTCAGTTAATGGGACGTTCGTAAGTAAAGACACCACATCTTGAGAAAGCATGATTCGATTAGAACAGTTTATGATTTCAACAGAATCGCCAAAGGCTAATGAATCGCGGAATGAGTGACAGAAGACTTTTGTTCTGATTGGTTTTAACAAGTTTATAATCTAACAGACAATACGATATTGTGAATTAGTCACTTCATTAATAGGATGGACAGGTGCACCTTTCTTCTGTAATTCTGGCAGTCAGAGTATATTTGGGCCAGATGTTTTAACGGATTCAAACAATTTAGGGCCGATAAATGATGTTGTCTTCAGTTTTCGGAAGACATCCGTTAATTTATTTTCGGTTCGCTCCATCACATTGTTTTCAATACTCAGTTATGTAAATCTGGATTCGTTGGATAAGGTAGTTAATATTTTGCTGATGCAGTCCCCATACTTTGTAAGTACTGTTCCCGAACTTAAATCAGGGCATATCAACATAATCTCTCTATATTCTGTTAACTTTTTGTAATGTGTCTCGTCAGTGCAGACTACCAGTTTGACGCGGTATTTACAGACTTTTAACGGCTATTAAGGATTGCAGATTTGAACTGTTGAACGTGTACTTCTGAGGTTGGTACTAAACAATAAGTCTGATTCATTAGGTTTACAAAATCAATTTGAGTGAAGCTTCTGGATATTTCATCACAAATATAGTCCCTCTAGTTGAGTTGTTGGTAGCTCGATATTTGTAAAATTGAATAAATATTTTACCAGACAACATAAGAGTCTACGTTCACTACAATTGGCTGCCTTCAGAATTTTAACTAGATTCGGTCTTATTGCATATCTTCTCTGTGATATGTTTGACATATTTTCAGAGAATTGGTTTAGTCCATAATCTAGATCGTTGACTGCATGAATCACTACGTAGACATTTTGGTTTAATTCAGAGACGCTCTACTAAATGGTATCAATGTGGTGCAGTATTCTGGTATTTAGCTCAGACTTAATGATTTCCAGTACATTGGTGTATATTAATGTCAATCTAAGAACTCTCTAAAAACTTAACTCTACCTTCATTACTGCAAACTCAACTTTTATACAAAATGGCTGCTTTAAATACGGATATATTCATTTTTAACGTGACAATGACTTTCTTGTCCGTTGCTTAGCTGCATTATTCTCAGTTACAGTACTGCACTTAATGGATAAAAGTGAAGGCTGAATGGACCAGGCCGAGTAATATGTTTTCTAATGTACACAATGTTGTTTGACCATCCATTTGCTCTTATTGAATTGTATTATTTAGTGGTTCTGATTCAATATCCAAGATGAAAATTTAGGTAAGACATCTGCAATAAATCGCATTTGCTTTAGACGCTACTGTCTCCTTATTCGTTCAGATTGCTGGCTTCCTAGAGTACTACAACTAATTTAATGCAAAAATTTGTCGTAAACCAGCTGTTCTTACTTAGTTACAGCAGTGTAATTGATTGTAACCACTGGCACAATGTTCATTCGTCGGTTTCTTACGAGAAACGTCTGCTGTGATATTTTGAAAACATAAGTTAATTTGTTTCAGTGTCATGTAAAGATGGTATTGACACTCGGTTGTTCAACAGTAGAATGATGGCCAACCACGCAGATTTTCCAGGACCGATTCTCAAACGATGCACTACTAATCTCAGTTTAGCGACTCCATACCGTAAAATCAAACAAAACTACTGCTACTGAAATCTCAGGGTCAAGCTTGAAGCCCCATGTTGCATTCAAAGTGCGAAGAGATGGAAAGAAGAAGATTCTCACGACTAATACACCAAATGAACTTTAGATATAACTAATGAATTAGTAGAATTTCTTGGAAGAGAACAGTAAAGGAAACTAAACGCCGTGTCATTGATTCGTTAAACTATTTTATTGAGAAACAATTACACATTTGAAAATACTTAAAAAAATGATCGTACAGAAATTGAATGCACTACTGCACTTCTCATCACATGAATAATTTAATTTACAGAGTTTATTATTTCTGTCATGAAGATGCAGATCATGCAGAATTTTACAATTTCATTGAAAATATAAAGATCAGCAAACAGACTGAGAGTCTCAAGATTGGTTTGGTCTGTAAACAATACTGAGTAGAAGTTAACGTACACAGGATTGTTTGAGATAAAAAAACCAAACGACTCAAAAAAAAATATTCAAACAGACTTAAACTTTAGGACAGTGAAATAGCAACCCATCAAAACAATCTCTCAATTTATTAAAAAGCAAAAATTGACAACTGGAAAGTTCAAATCATTTAGTAATCAGGTCCACGTGAGACTACTTCTTTACATGTAGGTCTTAGTAAAATTGTATGCTCCCACTGGGCAGTATATGATCCACGTTGATCACACAAAGGAGGATAAGGATCTACTATTCCCACATCGCACAAGTTCTTCAAAGCCATAAGATATTTTGTTTCACCAAGACGATCCAACCATCGGCGGCAAAAAGCAAGAGTACTGAAATTACGGTCGATTACATTTAACAGCTGTTTAGACCTGGCTAACCTAAAAAATGGGAAGTTGAGTGAACATTAGGAAATTTACACAGAAACCAGAATAATTATAATTAAGCAAAAAGAATGACGGTGATTCGGCGAATCTGTAACTATTTCACTAAAAATACTTAGGAAGTAGTTCACACGGTATAAAACTAATAGACGTTTGATAAAGATACACAGAATGCAGTAATATAACACTAATAAAACATTTCCTTTGATGATATTGGATGTTTGGAGACAATCAGCAGGAAGCCTTGGACCTCAGTGGTAACGTCCTCTGACTGCAGCACTCACTGAGTGACGCGGATTCGAATCTCAGAAGGGACATGAGTTCCTTCAAGGTTGCAGATACACCTTGCTGATGAGTGCCAACTAACACGAAATCTAGGTGTCCAAGGATTCCTGCCGATTACCTTCAACCATCCAATATCATCAAATCAATGTGCACCGTGATGGCGAGCTACTTAGTGACATGGTGGCCACATTACAAACCTGACTGATAGAATTCAGTCTACACTAAAGAAAGGACTAGACTGGTTACTAGTGTCCAGTCAAAAAAGCCTATCCTTATTCAGGTTAGAAGTCAGTTCAATTCTAGAATGTAACGAAAAATATAGTCTCACTCTCATAAGGTAATACGATTGTTTTTAACTGCTACCATGATCGCACCAGTCCAATACCCAATTATCTTAACTTGATAAAAGAAAATCAAAGTCCGTAGGCTCAAACACACACAAGTACATAATTTACTTTTGATGATGAGACCAATAAAACCTAATAAGCCTATAATAAAACATAACAGATGAGTTGATCTTTATGAAAATTGCTTGCTTTGTTTAATTATTGTGAACTGTTCGAAGTAGTGATTCAAAATACAAAATGCTTGAAAGGTTTGAACTATGGACAGATGAGTTTGTTACACACAGTTACCTACAGAAATAGGCGAATACAAAGTTGGCCTAAACAGCCGATAGTAAAATAGAGGTTGATAAATACATTAATTAAGTGAAAGCTTTGTGATAATTAAAAAAAATGTATAAAGAGGACTTAGCTATAGTAAAAGAAACCTTATTTATTCACATTGACATCTATTAACATACCTTAAGGGAATATGGCCAGCATCGAAATTCTTCATATAGTGCGAAACTTCATCCCCATCAATAACGTAACCTTTACCTGTACTACCAAACGTTTCTATAGCGTAATATTCATTTTCCTGAAAACAAGTAAATACAATTTAGTAGCAAGGCTTATAAACAGACGCAGCGATCCAATTGTCCAAAAAAATTTAATCGGACGGCTACCTTCCACAATAAAAATGCATAACAAATGATGAAAACCAATTTCAAAAGTCCTCTCCCTTCTTACTGCGTCGGTGGCTTGGTTGTAGAATACTCACCAACCACACATGTGGTCTAGGGTTCGATCCTTGGCCGGCGCACTAGTTTACCTTGCTAAGTCGATATTAAGACCGTGAAAGAGGGAAGGTTGGAAATGAGGCTACCAATCCCACCCCGTAAAAACGAACACTACTGCTACGGAAACTTCAAAGCTCTAGCTTGAAGCCCTATGTTCCACTGGGATCGTAAAGGGATAAAATAATAAATAAATTTCCACCTCCTGAACAAAAGCTACTTCTTTCTTTCATGTACTGACTCAATTTGTTGCATCCAATAGGATGTGTATACAGATGAATGCAATAAATTAACATATCATTCGTATTCTAACTAAAACAAAAAACTGTGAATGCATAGAATTACGGATTATTCTCCGACATTCGAATAGATTGTTTAGTAGTGCAACAACCGAAAAAAGTAACCAAAATTAGTAACCCAAAGATGAAGAATCTAATAGTTTACCTATAAGTTGCCGGAATTTTAGCGCCTTAATATTTCTAGCTTGAAACACACAGAGTAGTATTATCTGCTGCTATTATCTGATAAAAACCTATGAGATAAGAGGTTTTGGTAAGGATTTGGATTAGTTTCAATGCAGACCTCGTCATAAACCAACATTGGTTAGAGATCATTAAAAACTGGAGAGCACTGAATGGCCATTTAGTCCTAGTTTGCCGCCAACAATTATACATCTCATCCAACAGTTGTACGACAATGCTGCATGCCAAGTAATCCACAACGGGAAACTTACGGAAGCCTTCGAAGTGAAGACGGCAGTAAGACAAGGCTGTCTATTATTGCCAATGATTTTCCTGATTGCAGTAGATTGGATAATGCGACAGACAGCAGCGGGCGATGAGGAAACAAGCATAAAGTGGACCCACACAAAAAACTTGGAGGAAATGGACTTCGTCGATGATATATGTCTGATTTCCCACAAACTAGAAGATATGCAGGTGAAAAGCAACAAGTTGGCAGAAAAAGCATAAAAGATATGACTTCAGGTGAACATAAAGAAAACGGAGGTGATGAAGATTTCTAGCCAACAGCAGCAGCAACAACAATAGACAACAATCAGCAAAAATGGGAGAAATCTGAAAGAAGCAACCTCCTCTACCTACCTCCTGGAAAGCATCGTTTCAACTACAGGAGGAACTGACGATGATATCAAAACAAGGATCGAGAAAGCAAGACAAGCTTTCATTACTCTCAAGTCTGTGTGCAGGTCAACAACACTCAGAATGAAAAATAAGATCCGGATTTTCGACTCCATTGTGCAGTCCGTGCTACTGTATGGATCAGAGACTTGGCGCCGTGTCACAAAGGGCACTTCGAACAAACTACAAATCTTCATCAACAGCTCCCTTTGCTCACTACTACTGAAAATCAGATGGCCGGCCGGAAAACATCAGCAACAGGGATCTCTGGAAGCGGACCAACCAACCCAGCAGGAACCGATTGAGCAACAAATATGCAGCAAGAATTGGAGGTGGATTGTCCACACTTTGAGGGAACCATCAAGTGACATCACTAGACAGGCCCTCAAGTGGAACCCGAATGGGAAGCGATGAGTTGGTCGTCAGTGCCAGGGTGACTTGGAGGAGGTATTGTGAAGAGGAGATGAAAGCATGTGGGCAGACTTGAAGCCAGGTGAAAACTTTAGCAGAGAACCGAACACAATTGAGACGCGCGGCTAAAGCCCTATGTTCCTCTAGGAATTAAAAGAAATAATAATAATTGCTGTCCTTCAGCAGTACGTACCCATTACCCCACGGGGGGGTGAACCCGGGACTTTCAGGTTACGACACCAAGCTCGTTGGCCATTCACCCACCTGGACCGGAAGTCAGTGAATTCTAACTAATGCCTTCGATGTGCAGACACTTCACCTTGACATGGTGAGCACCATTGGATGAATAATCACCAAGCCTAGTTTTGTAACCTTAAGGTCCTGGATTCGATCCCTAGTGGAGTAATGGGTATGTAATTCCGAAGGGTCCCACACAAAGACGAAAGAGCTGTCTAGTGCTCCCAGGTTTTCAATGATCTCTAAATGATTTCGGTTCGTGACAAATTATAAATTGAAAATGAGACAGTATCATTGTATACTACAAATCTTGTCTTTGTTTCAAAGTTGGTCGAGAGAAAAACGTGTATAAAAATCGCACAGATCAACAGACAGACAGACAGACTAAAATTTCTGATAACTATCTGATATTATAGAACAAAAGTGTATAAATGCAACTCTAAAGATAAAGAGTTTGAAATTACTGAATAAGATATCTTCAATGTTTTTTTTTCAACAGACTAATAGGAAAAAGAGATTAATACTCAAATTGAAAGTTGACTAACTACTAATAGATGAACTATGTAGGTTTACTGTATCAAACACATTCATGAATTCGTTCACATTTTCTAATCACTACAACTATTAACCAGTTGAATTTTGAATAGTTAACAACCACTGAAAAAAATAGGTAAGAGGACACATCAATACATACCTCCATACGTGTTTGTTCTCCTCCACGTACAATCGGTACAGTCTTCCCAGCATGAATTTGATAAGGTCCCAAAGAATGACCATTCAAATTACGTATAGGCTTCACTAAAGAAACAGAGTAATGTAACAAAACACTAAATATGTATTCGATATGCTAATTGAATATGGATCAAATCTCTAACACAGAGATTAGTCTATATGAACACGGGGAATATTTAAAAAGTCAAGTGTATAACATATGATCGTCAAAAACACCTATTGTTATTTATGTAGAAATATGTTAATACTCATATGTGTACGCCTACTTTTAGGAGAAAAACTATAAGGAATACATTTCTTTTTAATTATACGCAAGCTTTGAAAATGACTTAGTGATTTGAAGTTACTTAGCACGTACTCTGAAATCACTGGGGGAATCTGCTTTACTCAGCACAAGGAATAAGATCCAAATTTCTTACACTAGTGTCAATTCACTTCACTGCTCCCATATGATTTAAAGACTTGACGCGTTACAAAAAAAAAATAATTCCAACGGGCTAACTCAGACTTTTATCAACAACTGCCTTCGTCTCATACTGAAAATTAGATGGGCAGAAAAGATAAGCAACCAAGAAGTCTGGTAACGAACCAACCGTCACCCAACAAATTTGCAGTAGGGAATGGAGTAGACATATGCTGTGAAGACCGTTGAGTGACATCACGCGCCAGGCCTTAGGGTGGATCTCAGATGTAGAATGACAAGTTAGACGTCCAAGGGTGACATGGAGGAGATTGGGTGAAAAAGAAATGAAAGCTTATGGGCAATTGTACAACCAGATAAAATGCACCGTTGAGAACAGGGTGAAATCGAAATGTGCTGCTGCTGTACCACTCGAAACCCAAGGAAATTATATACTCGTGCACTGACAAAAATGAACAATCATTTAAAGTATTGACATCGTAGAGAGACTAACAAAAAAATTACATAATTTGGTAATATTTGTTTGGTGATAGCTAACATTAGAGCTTAGCTCAGATAGCATATTTCAACCGATTTGGAGCTCATCAGTCAAATGTTGTTCCGTACCAGTCAATTATGGTGTTCGAAATCAAAAAGACTTACACCCAACATTTCACCGTTCCAAATGATGAAAATTTATTCAGTGGGTTCCTGAGCCACGAAAGCTGCAGATAGCATCGACGTGAAATTCAAGATGATATGAAAGGATTCAGATACCAACAAAGTACCATACTAACAATTTGAAATTACAATTAAAAGCACAATGGAACTACTCGACTATCGGTCTATACATACTGTTTTATTTTACCGTATTGAAAGCAGATAGAAAGTTAGTAAGAAGCACTACTGAACTAAACTCTGCACAAAGGGTGGATATGTACTTAGTTTATCTAAACAATAATATTCATTAAATTTTTCTCTTTTACAGTTAGAAAACAATATAGAATGTATTCAACATAGCTTTGAAAATCATATTTTCGTTTACATTTATACCCTTTTATAAGTGGTTGAGGTTTAAGTGACATAAAGTTTCTCACAGATCATTATTATTATTATCTCATTTAGTTCCTAAAGGAACATAGGGCTTCAGCCGCACGTCTCCATTGCGTTCGGTTCTCTGGCAACGTTTTCACCTGGCTCCATGTCTGCCACCAAGCTTTCCTCTACTCTTTACATGACCTCCTCCACGTCACCCTCGGACGACCAACTCGCCACTTCCTGTTAGGGTTCCACTCGAGTAATGGCCTGGCGTGTGATGTCACTTGATGGTTTTCTTAGAGTATGGCGAATCTACCTCCATTTTTTCCTGCATATTCGTTGCACAATTGGTTCTGCTGGATTAGTTCGCTGCAAGAGATTTCTCCCTGTTGCTTATCTTTTCTGGCTGGCCATCTGATCTTGAGTATTGAGCGAAAACAGCTGTTGATGAAGGTCTGAAGTTTGTTCCAAGTGCCCTTCGTGGCGTGGCGCAAAGTCTCTGATTCGTATAGTAGCACTGACTTCACATTGGAGTAGAAAATCGGGATCTTATATTTCATGAAAAGTGCTGTTGGTCTGTACACAGACTTAAGAGTAATGAAAGCTTGCCTTGCTTTCCCAATCCTCGCTTTGATATCGTCATCAGTTCCGTCCCCCTGTAGTTGAAACGATGCTTCCCAGGTAGGTAAAGGAGGTTGTTTCTTTCAGGTTCCTCCCATTTATGCTGGCTGATTGTTGTCTGCTGTTGTTGCTGTGGCTGTTGGTGTTGGCGAGGAATCTTCATCACCTCCGTTTTCTCTATGTTCACCTGAAGTGAAGTTCTATCTATGATGTCAGGGATTAAATAGTGGAAATCATTAATAAATTATGACCTTAAATCCTTTGTCAACAAGAACATAAAGTTATGGTAATCAGTTTTCAAACTATTCAGCAACTATGATTAGTCATTTCTGAAATGAAATTCATGTGATTTCAAGGCGTACACTTATACATTAAATACTACAACCCTAAAAATTTAACTTGATGTTAACAATAGTTGAGTGGAAATGACACAATTCCAGATTTTTTTTAAAATAAACGTATTTTTATATTTTATAGAAAAATTGTGCTGTTTTGTTTGAAAAGCTGTACACAAGAAAGACATAACAGTTAAAATAATCATAGTAAACATTAAATTTATCGGGGATTGTTCTACTATGCAAGAGATCTAAATGCTGATTGCTGACAGTACTACCGAAAACACTAATATTACTTGTTACAAAATCATAGCTTATTTAATTCAATGTGTAAAATTCGTAGAATTCATATCACTTAGAAAAGGACTCAAAATTCTTTCATAATAAAACTTGGGGGTTATTATTACAGACTGTCCTAGCAACTACACTAGACACATGTGTCCGGAATGAGTTACTCAGTTGTCACTTGTATTTCAATGCAGTTGGCAATCAGCTACATCCATCGTGTTAGAGCTAATGACCATAACTGGTCACTGAAACCTTGGAAAGTGGAACGGGGTAGCAACTCACTACCCACCTGGTAGTTGGCAGTCGAGAGAGCCTAGCCCAATAAGCTACCGTAATATTGTCTACATGATTAGAGAATAAATTACTTGGATATAAAAATGTTGATAATTAGTTGGTTGCATGTCAGATATATAGAGTATATCCCCCTTTGTATAGTAATGTTAACGCCAGTGAGAAATCTAATAACCATAATAAGTACTTAATTGGTGGATGGTGACTAGTAGTGAAATCCAGGATAAAGCGCATTTCGTCCTATTTGGGACTCGCCATCTGGATGTAACTACACACCCCAGTGAGTAATGATGCTCCCACCGAGGCTCGAACCCAGTGTCCATGGTCTCAAACTGTCTGTCTGTCTGTTTTCGACATAGAACTTTGCACAAATGCGCGGAAGTTCAAGTCGCCACACTCCGTGTAGCACGCGAAGCAAGAGAAGAAAGTACAAGAAAAGCATAATAGAAACAGTGAGCAGAGGTGTGAGACAAATGAGTAATAAAGTAAAACAAAACAGTTTCATTGGAGATCATAAGTCACAAGGAGTGGATGCATTTGCGCTAGCCACTGAGAACGATTTTGAGCCATGTCACCAATTGTTTCCAACCATAGATTTTTACCGTCCCGAGGACCCCAGCCTGGAAGTCTACACCTTCCTACGTGGCTTAGACCAACTGTTGTGGATTTCATTGACTGGTGCCAAGTTTTTGTTTGACCGCCGCTAGCTTTTTTCCAGCCTGACCCTATATCCGCTAACATTGCTCGTCGAGGGAGGCGATGGCTTGGCATACGTAACACATGTCCTAACCATCTCAGTCTTTGTAGCTTCACGACTTCGTCGATTGATTTTCCTTGTTTACCTAGAACTCTACGCCTAACCTCAATGTTGCTCACCTTATTATGCCACTTTACACGGGAAATAGAACGCAGGCACCTATGATCAAACACAGCTAGTCTTTTCATGTCTTCCACTCTCAGTGGCCAGGTCTCACAACCATAGAGGAGGACGGAGCGGACTGATGAGCAGTACACCCGCCCTTTGGTCGATAGTCGAACATCTCGTCTACGCCAGAGTCGGCGTAAACTGGCAAATGGTCTCAAACGCCAAAGCGTTATCCACTAAACCACTTGAGCCACCTCTTGTGCAATGGATGATATTTATTATTTAATTGAATTTTAGATTTCCCCGTTGATTGGTTGGACCGAAGTGCATCTGCACAAGAAGCCGACTTGTCAACCTGAGACCGAGCGCTTCGTTTCGATTAATCGACGGGAAAATCTCAAATTGAATTACATAATTAGGTAAGTACTTCATAGAATTAGTTTCCTTTATTAATTTTTGTAAAACATGAGAAGTACGCATAACTGGATGAATTGAATTTGTCATTTCATTTTGTCTGGCTCTAAACTGAAAAAAATTATACACAATTTACCAATAGGCATATATGCTAGAATAGCTTTTAGAGAGCCACTTACAGCTTAGTCATCTTAAGCTATCACATGTTAATTATGTTTATTTGAGTATATAAAACACAATGAAATAGTATTATTTACTAGATGATGTTTTAAACATGAATTTTTGTTTACAGTCATATCTGAAAATGGAAACATGAAATAAGCACTACTGATATGACAGCATTACACACTTTGCTTAGATTCTTCTCTTTACAGCAACTTATATGTATTTTTTGATTGGCTAGTTAGACGTCTTAGTTTGTTTATTTATAAACACACAGTACTCATACTTCTTCATTTATAGTTAAACTTATTTAAATGACGTAACTTGAAAATGAATTATTTGAAGAAAAACACAGGTTTCTTTGTAGTTGTTTGTTTTCAATTGCTGAATGCAAATTATCAAAATCAAAACTTTAGAAATAGAAAAAAGTTTATTCAACTCATTTAAAATCAGTATAATTGTGTTGATTTGATTACCTTGATAAGTGTTTCCATCAAGTTCAACCTCATAAGATTCCATAGTTTCTTGAATAGCTGCTCCGACATCACATAAACGAACATCAATGCCAGCTTCCTAATATCAAATAAGATGAAAGTATTTATTATATAATGCATATGGCAAAGTTAAACTATAAGCCCCAGTAAGTATTAACGGACAGGTGATTTGAAAGCACCAACCACATGATAAAGGCGACTTTTGCGTATAAAATACATGCATTCATGAAAATAATGCACATTAAAAGGCATGAAACTGTTACACATGAGATACCTTGCTCTGAAGTGTGACAAAAATATCTCTCAGTTTTGGATTGGATTATCAAGACAGTAATTTAAACACACATTCTGTGCGTGTAATTATCTAGTCTTCTAACCCTAATCTTTCCTTAACCTAACCTGTCCTAAGCCTAAACCTTAATCTTTTTCGAACCTAATACAAAACTTGCCGCATACCCCATTTAATAACATAACATTTCATTAACCATATTTTAATCATGACTACAATATTATATACCAGGTTCCACTAACTTGCTCACTGAGCGTTTCAAGCTCACTGGTGCGGTCGCACTCCACCGGTACTTACTGGTGCTCAAATTTTAACTTGGCCTGATATATTAATATGCGCTGGAGTATATTAAAGTAGTAAACGATAAACAGCAGTGTTTTATTTGTGAAAACAATATATACTAAATGAGTTTGAAACGTAACAAGACGACGTGGTGATGGTAGTGAACGCAAATCTTTCACTAACACATAAATATATTTTTCATTTCTTCTTAACAGATAATTTTTACTGAGGGTATAAAACTCAAGAAAATGTCATTATTTATACAATAATTTCATTACTTAAATTAATTAGTGTTGATCAAGCTGTCGTCGACTGCAGTTGTTTGTGTTCTATCTCTCGTGTTAAATGGTATAATATAGTGAGTCATATGAAGATTAGGTGTAGACTGCTACATAAGTAGGGCAAGTCAGTCAACTGAGAAGGTTACAAAACATGTTGAGCATGCTGAATCACCACCCTCCTTGTCAAGCAATGTTAGTTGACATAGGATTAGGTTGCAAAAGAATTAGGGGTGGTCAAATTGAAATGTGACATCAATCCATTTAGTCTTTGACAGCTAATTTGAGCCAAGTAGGCAGGTGTCGATTGACTAGTTTGTATCCTCAGGATGCTTAGAACTAAATTAGCTGATGATAACTGGTGGTATGGTTCAAAATCGTTCTCAACAGCCCAGATCCACTTACTTTTTGTAATTTCACAAATCCACTAAACCCTTGTGTTTTTCCATGTTATTATTCTTTCTCCCTCACATTCCTGTTTATTATGGTTCTTCGAGTTTGACGACGGATTATTGTCAGTTAGAGAACTACTGGAAACCAGGGAGTGAGGATGGATTTCCAGCCGATGACACTGGCTGGTGGTCGCGTTAAAATCACGAACTGGTAGAAGTTCGATTCATGGTCTGGCCATCGAATCGCGTACCGGTGGCTGAATGGTATACGAGCTTGCCTTGTAACCGGAAGGTCTTAAGTTCGAAACCTAGTGGGCGCGTACTGCCAACGATTCCCAAGCTAGGATGAAACAGCTATCCAGTACTCTCGGCTGGTTTTCAATGGCCCATGGTCAAACTCAAAGAACAAATCAACTCTTGAACATTATAAATCTTTTGAATCGCCTTTTTCTCTTTTCTCTACATGGGATACGGCAAACTGAAATGTTGCATTTCTGTGCAAAGTTCGATCTCGAAACTCAATCAGTCAATCAGTTCGGAAATACTCAAATGTGATAAATTACAATGATTAAGACGTCAAACACACGCACGTAACTTGTTCATAAACATCAGTGTTGGTGGTAATTATTACACCCTTTCAAATTTATAATACTTTTAACTCTGACTAACTCTGCTGCAAATTTACTGTCAAAGGAGACTTCAGAAACACACGTCAATACAGAAATGTGAATAATGTATAGTTGTAGAAGAATTTTTCTTACGAAGAAATGATTTCCTCTATAACTTAATGAGTAAATTTCTTACAGCTTTGAGAAACGGTTGTTTAAATAAGGTAGAAGCATAGAGTAAAAAATGCTGGCGCTAGCTCAGCAATGCATCATAGATAATAAGCATGGATAATTGAAGTGCTGAGTTTCCATTGATTAAGGTGAAGCAGGATAAAGACACAAAAGTTAAAGATAGTCAGACGAACAAACAGCGCTGACTAACGATGTCTGTGACTGAACCACAGAGTAATATCTGTTCCCTTTATATATATATATATATATATATATATATATATACATATATATATATATATATATGCACTGTCTTAAAGTGTGATAACTTGAAATTACGGAACGCTGTACAATATTTGTGAGTCTTATTCTGATTTAGCCGACTCTAATCAACACCGACCCCCTCCCTTGCACTGAGGTTGTAAAGCAAAGTCATGTGAGTACATATAATAAAAGGTTTTAAGTCAGTCTTTTGAAGTGATACAATAGTATTGTAAAAACCGAAGACAAGGGCCTGGCAACAAATCGTTTATTAAGGAAATCAACACATATTTATATATTTTCATATACATTATTAAAGCTTATTCAAGCAAACAAACACAGTGTTCTGATTGGTTGTTTCTCACAGAAAGTTAACCTTGCATCTCTTTGTGACTGTTTCTTGAATGTCAGATCATCTATATGTTAACTGTATCCGCCTAAGCAAAATCTGCAGTGGATGGTTGTTGAATCAGTCTTTGTTCATATCTTTCTCACGACCAATATTGGGGACGTAAACATTGATGTAAAATACTGTCTACCAATTTTGTTTAGTAGCCAGCTCTCACCACAGTATTGATATCTATATGTATTTTAAGACAACTGAGATATTTGAAAATAGCGAACAAGATTGTGGTGAAAACTGGCTGTTAGTCAAAATTGGTGGACAGTAATTTACGTCAATGTTTATGTCCCCAATATTGGTCGTGAGAAAAATGAGAACAAAGGCTTTGCGTAGGCGGCGGATACAGTTAACATATAGATGGTCTGACATTCAAGAAACAGCCTCAAAGAGATGCAAGGTTAACTTTCTGTGAGAAACAACCAATCAGAACACTGTGTTTTTCTGCTAACAATAATCTATAATATGTACATGAAAATATACAAATATGTGTTGATTTCCTTAATAAACGATTTGTTTCCTGGCGATTGTTTTCTCTTGTTACAAGATGACTCAGAAATGTATGCTAATATACAGATTGTAGTGAATTTCATTACGTAATCAAAGCATTCATCATTGACTTATTTTCTATATCTACAGAGAATTGATCTACTTTATCTTTGGTTGCCTAGGTATATTAATAAGCTGTTTTTAGTATTCTTATAACTACTCACACCTCCACTATTTTTTTATTGTAGATAGTATGGGAGTGCTACCGACCAGATTTTATAAGTAGTATATTATGTACGATGTCTTCTGCAAGAATATTGAATAGCTGAGGGATGGATTAAATGATGAGACGGAGGAATGTAAGATCCTTGTGAAAACATGCAAGGAAGACAACAAACACAATAAGGAAAACATGTGCAAATGGAGATTCCAATGCAAGGTATATGCATTTTGCCAATAAGCACTTCCGCTACCAAATACTAACGTGTTTCCCTGTTACAGGGGGGGGGGGTATATGTAGTACCATGACTACGATTACCTATGTAAGATATATAAATATATATAATGCATCGGTGGTCTAATGACGGAATGCTTACCAACCACGCAAGTGGTCTGAATTCGGTCCCCGGTTGACAGACTCCTAAACGTTGATTAGCTGACAGCAAGTCCTGAAAGGACGGTAGGCTGGGGGTGAGACTAGCAACCCAATCTAGTAAAAAATCACCAGTGTTACTGAAATTTCAAAGTTCAAGCTTGAAGCACCATGTTCCACTCGGAACTTAAGGGAGTATATATATATACATAAGACCGAATGTTAAAACTACTCAAAGTATAACTTACTTTGATGCCAGTATTAGTTGCATCTTTAACAGCTTCAACCAATTTATCAAATTTGGGATTGAAATGAAGTGTGAAGGCACAGTCAATTATACGACCTAGAATTTCAAAAACAAAGAGAAGACAAGTGATTAAAATTAAGTAGCTGAGCTTATGGCTTCGTGTTCAAAGTAGGTCTTGTCACAGATCGATATCAAAACTTATGCAATCAATAAACAGAAACGTGACATAAATAGCTGAGGTTAGTGTGACTCCGATGATTTTCCAGATTGGCAATACCACAGCAGCACATGGTAATATAAGCTCAAATTTCGTTAATCCAATGTCTTACAAAAAGGGTTTATAATAAACATATGGGTGTGAAATTTTCTTGTTATTACAGGAAAAACTTTCTAAACTTTAAACATCTGAAAACATAAGAATGAAATTCCAGTGTGCCTCACGATTTCACTAGCCCATATACTTAGACTAAAAAGTTCAACATTTGGGATGTGATATCCTATTTTGAAAGGCTATTATCTTAATGTTTTAGTTTAATATAAATAGACTGTTTTATTGACCCATCAAGCCGTCAACTAAGCAATATGTCTACGAAAGATGAACAATTATCTTACTTTTCTACAGACGCAAGTGATATGCTATTCTGAACTTCATTCATTCGATTTAAAATTGAGGAGGCAGGACAAGATTTATCACTTATGATTACAATGTCATCTACATACCTTCTGTACAGTGGCACATTTTTGACTAAATCCTCCCATAAACTCTTAATGTATGACATAAAAGATACATTTGAATTGGTTAATTTTCTTGATAATATTAATATTATGAATAAAAATATGTACACTTTTGATGTTAACTCTTTGTTCACTAATGTGCCTTTACTTAAGACAACAGACATTTCGTGTGATTATATTTCCACAAACAATTTTTTCATCCCGTTCCCTACATCTTATTTAAGGGATTTATTACTTCCATGTACCAGCAATGTGAGGTTTACATTTGAAGGCGATTGTTTCCGCCAGGCTGATGGTGTTGCAATGGGAAGTCCGTTAGGGCGCTTTTTAGCAGATATCTATGTGTCTATATCTATATGCCATACATTGAGAGTCTATCGGAGGATTTCATCGAAAATGTGCCACTGTATATTTATTTTGATTTTTTTATTTACAGCTTGATTCCACACTGTATTTTTGGTACAAGTATGGAATTTTCAGCATGGATATCGGTAGCCGAAATTTTGCAGGCCGACCATAGATATCAGGTGTGGGTCGGCAGGGGATCGAACTTCAGACCATATGCATGGTCGGCGAGAGTTCTAACCACTGTGCCACCGGGGAACAGGTATGTAGATGACATTGTAATCATAAGTGATAAACCTTGTCCTGCCACCTCAATTTTAAATCGAATGAATGAAGTTCAAAATAGCATATCACTTGCGTCTGTAGAAAAGTAAGATAATTGTTCATCTTTCGTAGACATATTGCTTAGTTGACGGCTTGATGGGTCAATAAAACGATCTATTTATGGAAAACCTACCTGGACAGAACAGTATCTTAATTATCACAGTTTTAGTTTATGCCTATTTGACTACTTCATATTATGATCGATAAAATAAAGATGCCTAAACTAAATAAAGGATGAACAAAGTGATATGAAAAATGCAACTCCTTCAGAGCTTATTAAATAATTCAAAAAATACATATTCTTTTAAACAGAAGCATATACTAAAATCAATCGTAAAACTATCAAATCATCAATCAGAATTAGAAAACACTACATATTTAAACACATTCACAAATCAATTCATTTACTAACCATTGACATGCACACCAAAATCAATTTTGCAAACATCATCATAATTTAGAACTGTGTTGTCACCACCATTTGGAGTGTAATGAGCAGCACAATGATTAATTGAACAACCGGTCGGAAAGGCTAAACCTGCAGTAAGTCCACGTTCTAAAATCAATGCACGACTAGTTCGCTCCAGTTCTTCACACATATCAATGAGACGAACTCCAGGACGTATCCATTTTTTAATGTGATTTCTTGTTTGTCGGTGAACCTCTGCACCTTCACGGAAATTCTGGTAAATTTCTATATGCGCACTGTCACGGGCCTTGCATTCCTCTGACGTTGTACGATTGAGGGCTGTACGGCTGGGATAAAAACAGGATGTAAATACTTACATTAAATCGAGGGATAGCATAAAATATTGAAATTATCAAACTTTTCAATTTGAAAGGTGAAGCACACCGATTTAGAAGCAAAATAGCAACCAATCTAAAAACAATGAGCTCCTTTAGGACAGGCAAATATGCAAATTTAAAAATTCTCAAAACTGAATTCATTTTCTCGTTACCGTGTAACTTTTATAACGCATAGTTTATATTGCTTAATAATCACACGCTGTCGATGAACTACATACAAGCTAGAACTCACAATATTACTTATTTACCTAAACCTTAGTAAATAGAGCAAGATCTGAACCCATGACCCATCACTTTCTAATCTAATGACCCACAATCTAGACCTCCAATGATCAGTGATGCCACCAAATAAAGACAGATGATTAACTCTTCAGTCTTTCTTGTTGTAGTGTGGCTAATCTTAATTACCATTCAAGGCACTAAACAACACATCAATGGGAGTAAACTGAGCTCAAATTTATTAAGGTAACCCAACGGTAGTTGGAAATCAATACAACGGCCTTTTAAAATTTCAAAAAGCAAACTGTTACATTCTACATTTATAGGGGCTTTTCTCAACACGTATAAGAACTGTACAGTTGATTTGAGGCTGCGGTTAGCTGGATGCGGGTTGAGATGAAACAGGTAGCTTTAGGTGCTTTTTTCTTCTGGCAAACTTATCTTATGTTACGCTGTGGTGAGAGCAGGCTGCTAGCCAATTGGTAGACATTAATCTACGTCAATGTCTAGGTCACTAATATTGGCCATGAGAAAATATGAACAAGGCTGATTCAGCAACCAATCACAGCAAACTTAAACGTGGGAAAATATGATTCGCAGATAGATGGCTCCACTTTCCGAGGTTACCCAAAACAACCAATCAGAAGCCTGCGTTTGTCTACTTGAATAAGCTATAATAATGTACATGAAATATATATAAATACGTGTTGATTTCCGTAATAAAACGATCTGTTGGCGGCCCTTGTCTTCTGTTGTTACAACGCTACCTCACAAATGAAACAACTGAAACTATTCTAATTCTCTTTTGATGTGATACCCTTCGCTTATAGCACAAGTAAATAAACAACACATAAGAATTGAGAAGGTAGAAAGTAGTATGATGTCTTTTTGAGCATGATATAACCAGTTCAAACACACGAAAGATCAGTGCTTCCGTGTGGCATCATTATAGAGTATAACTTTTGACCACAAAAGTTATCGATATCACGAAAGCTTTCCAAATTTTTTAGTACAGTCGCTTGGCAATCTGAATTGTGCACGTTGAAGGCATCATGACAAAAATATCATCTATACGGATACCCATGTGTCTTTTTAAATGAAGACAATCTGCTGTTAACAATCTATCGCTCCCGAAAACTACGTTTAGCATAATTCTGAACTTCTGTATATAAAAAATAGGTTTTAGTGTTTTTTAATAATCTAACACCTTTTGTGAATATGTTCATGGTCAACAAAGATAACTTTGAAACAGCTGCATTTTTCTTCGCCGACAACTATAGCCACACTTAATAGAATCGAACACAATTCACTGAACATATTCAAAGAAATATGACTATCACAAACTAACTATCCCAGAATCTATAAAATTATTCTGACTAGTAGAAATCCCAGCACCTAAAAGACATTAATTATATTCAATACGGTCATGTGTTGCAAGAGTTCTAACTTTACATAACGAAACAATTAAATATCTTCTAGAAGTATTCTCATCACCCTGATTAATAGACTCTTAAGTGTGAAAGTAAAACTTATTAAAGTTACTAACCCGTCAACATTTGGTTCATAGTCAATAATTTCACCAACTGGAAAATCTCCCTTGGGATATAACTGACAGATAGGAATGGAGGGTGGATCCGTCTGAACAGCATCTGTATGAGATTCAGTAGAGGCTGGATTTTTGGATTTTGACTTTTTCTTAGACTTTTTGCCAGTAGAAACTGTATTTTCTCCAACGTCAGCCGGGACATCACCAGTTTCATTTTCTTCAACTCCATTCTCATCGTTACCACCATCAACACAGATATAGTTAGATATATGTTGCACATACCTGTACATTTATTAGACTTCTTTTTATGTTTTCTTTTCTTTTTTGTACCTGCTGTAGCCGGTGGATCTCCATTTATTGTTGCACCTTCCTCCAATTTTTGGCATACTTCATCCAGACTATTTTCAGGTTTATCGGGTACTGTAGTGCACTCCATGAATTTAGTGTAACAAAAGACAATCTGGAACTCTGAGGGATTGCCGAGTAGGTGTACTAAACACTCAACAGAAGTGCTTTGGAGTTAGTTGTGTGCAGTACGACCGAAGGTGTCAAACTGCAAAAGACGAAACAAAATAATTTTCACAAGATCCCAGTGTCAAATCTAACTTAAACAGCAATACGAATTAAAACATTATCATTAGTGATATTTCTCGCAGTCACTTAATGAATAGAATTATGCACAGTAAGTACTAAGACCTTTGAACCAGTGTTGTTTTGAGAAGCATGTGAAAATAAACGATGGAGATAATCAAATCACAATTAATATCAGACATCACTGCATTTAAATTCTAGCACCTTAACACTGTACATGAAAAAATTCGCGGTGTGATTAAACCAGGTAAAACCAATAGAATTATGTTTGACTAACATTTTTCATATACAAATCAAGTAACCACTTACAAATCAGCTTTAGAAAATCAACACTGATGAATGCCATTTATTCGTACCATAAAAATTATTCTTCACTGTGAATTAGCAATAGACAACTGGGGAGGGCAATTTACACGTACAAAATTGTTGGAGAAAGAACGAAATAAAGGAATAGATTTCGCAACTGTTTAAAACGCTTATCACTTTTATTAAATCTATGGGGGGGCGTGGATGCCATTTGCGGTGATTCAAAGAAACATACTTTCTGGGATCATTATTCTTTTGGGTTTTATTATAGCTGGTAGACTAAGTGAGCAGTAAAAAGCTAACAGCAGTTACTATTATACTTACACTATGGTGGGATATTTGGCGGCGATAGTGTGCCCACAAGTGGCCAGCATTTAACCTGAATGAACTTAATTTCACGTTTGAAACATTCAAAGAAATCTGGTTCTAGAAACGTTGCCCGCGACGGGCTTCTCTACGTATGGACAGACCTGCAGAAAAGTCCAACCGCTATATAATTTACGTGCGTCAGGTTACAGGAAGAGCGTGTTGATGACGAAAAACATTCCTCTTCCAGCTCCTCCAAGAATACACAAGTCTTAGACTAATACTTTCAATACAATTTGCTTGCTCATCACGTATCTTCATTCTTGTCCTTTGCTTCTGCTTATTTTTTCATTAATAATATTACACCCTGTTGAGTTCTTGCAACTTTTCTTAAATTTGCAACTAATGCTAACGGAACATTATTTCTAAGAGCTTGAGAGCAACTTTATGTTGAGCAAACCACAACAGCCTAGATGACACGGGCAAAACACACGGTCATCTAGTAACTGGAGTAGTTTGCGGCTCATTTCAATCCATAAAGAGATGGTAGGCACCGTATTTTATTGAAACAAGTTGAAGACATTGAGACTTAGCCCATGATTATTGCCTAAACTGTAATCTCTATGAGTAGATATTGTGTATGTAAATACACTTGACATTTTCACCAAAGCAAAGCTTGCATCTAAGATTAATTGTATAGGTGATCAATAAGGACCCCCCTAGAAAGTATTCTTACAACTTCCATGCAAATACAGCAACTCTAAATGAATATAGAGCTTTTTAGCGGACAGTCGAACATAAACAACCAAAATCGACTGATAAAAGAATCAAATGAACTTCATTTTAATGTACCATTTGATCACCATCCTCATCATCCATTTTCGGGATAAATACTTATCAAGTAATAACATCCACTAGTATGAGAAAATATAATCATCACTTGGATTTTTTATACAAGAAACGTTCTGGAGAAATCACTAAAATACTAACACTTTAGGGAAGCATTTACACAATTTCCTGTTAGTTCAAGGGGTATAAGAATATTTAGATGGCACATTTAATCATGAAATGATTTGTTTTTGCAATATGATTTACGAAAATCTTAGCAGTTTCACCTCAAACTTGCGAAATAGTCATAAGTTCCCTATTGAATGGCCGCTGTCTGTCTGTCTGTCTGTTTTCGACATAGAACTTTGCACAAATGTGCGGAAGTTCAAGTCGCCACATTCCGTGTAGCACGCGAAGCAAGAGAAAGTACAAGAAAAGCATAATAGAAACAGTGAGCAAAGGTGTGAGACAAAGGAGTATTAAAGAAATACAAAACAGTTTCATTGAAGATCATAAGTCACAGGGAGTGGATGCATCTGCGCCACTGAGAACGATTTTGAGCCATGTCACCAATTGTTTCCAACCATAGATTTTTACCGTCCCGAGGACCCCAGCCTGGAAGTCTACACCTTCCTACGTGGCTTAGACCAACTGTTGTGGATTTCATTGACTGGTGCCAAGTTTTTGTTTGACCGCCGCTAGCTTTTTTCCAGCCTGACCCTATATCCGCTAACATTGCTCGTCGAGGGAGGCGATGGCTTGGCATACGTAACACATGTCCTAACCATCTCAGTCTTTGTAGCTTCACGACTTCTTCGATTGATTTCCCCTGTTTACCTAGAACTCTACGCCTAACCTCCATGTTGCTCACCTTATTATGCCACTTTACACGGGAAATAGAACGCAGGCACCTATGATCAAAGACAGCTAGTCTTTTCATGTCTTCCACTCTCAGTGGCCAGGTCTCACAACCATAAAGGAGGACGGAGCGGACTGATGAGCAGTACACCCGCCCTTTGGTCGATAGTCGAACATCTCGTCTACGCCAGAGTCGGCGTAAACTAACAAATGCGAAACGAGCCCCTTGTATTCGTGCTGAGATTTCGTCAGAGATCAGCCCGTTGGGGCTGATGGTACTTCCCAAATAAGTGAAGCGGTCAGCGTGCTCTACCACTTCACTTCCTATTTTTAAACTAGGCGTCGATGTGGTCCAGTCCTGTAACATCATCTTGCATTTGGCGGGAGCGAATCGCATGCCAAACATTCGTAGATTCCGGCTCAAGGTGTTTAGAAGACTCTGCATTTCGTCAGCGTCTTCGCCTAGAAGGACTATATCGTCTGCATATTCCAAGTCAACGAGATTATTCCCCGGTAGCAAGTCAATCCCTGAGTCGCTGAAGTCACCTAGGGTTAAGTCCATTAACACATCTATGATGAAGTTGAATAGAAAAGGAGATAATGGGCATCCTTGACGGACACCACTGGTCGTCATCAGTTCAGATGACAGCTCGCCGTAAGCCCTCACCTGGCTGTATGAGTACGAGTAGAGTGCCTTAATCAGTGCAATATATTTTCTTGGAATTCCCTTTACAGCCAAGCATCTCCAGAGAACTTCCCGATCGACAGAGTCGAATGCTGCCTTTAGGTCAAGAGATATAATGACTGTTGGACGCCGGTAGGAATTCCTATGTTCTAGAATCTGTCGGAGGGTGAAGATATGATCAATACACGCTTAGTTATTTATGACAGTACGCTATTATCAACAGCAGTCAAATCTAGGTATAATAGACACATGGTTTACGGAATGCTGATACTTAGGTATTGTTTTTTGACATTGCTCCTCATCATGAATTAGCACTAATCCTACACCCGTAAATACGAAGGCGAAAAGTGTGCTGATTTTTGCAACCTTGGAATAAGTGTATGCAGTCAGTCAGGTTGTTAGACTGATCCCACCAAACTGAAAAGTCTTTAATTGGGGAAAATGTCACCTTGATGTTTCTGTTGTACGTTTGACAGTTTGATACTTTGGATGCATGAACCCATAAATCGTAATCTGGCCACTTTGTAGCGTGTCCCTGTGCTATTAAGCCCCCATATGACTAATTTTTCTGCTCGTCTTTGCCTTCAAGTTGAAGCAACTTTCGCGAACTAACTGCGCAAATAGCGACACCGTGTAAACGCTCAATAAGTGACCAAATAGATCAGTACCATTTGAAGTATTTATCACGATGGTTAAAATAGTAGGAGTGATGATAAGGAACTTCTTTACAACTATACTGAAATTGCCGCCAGCCAAGTTGATTCCAATATGCCGCAATATCCAGTGATGGCAGTAGTGAAAGACTGTATTTCGCAGATTCAAAGTTATTAGTGTCGACATGTTATCACTTGTCAGTATACCTAAAGTACATAACCTTGATGAACTTTACGCAAAAGTATTCCTCCAGTTTCCAATCAGTTAGATAAGCTTTTGTAATGTGTATATCCTTGTTGCCGGCCTAAAACGGTTGGCTGCTTCTACTGAACCGGCAGTGAATTCATAAGTAAGTACTTTGAAATGTAACTACTAAAATGGAGCAAGTTAAAATATTTACAGAGGTGTTATTTTGGCCGAAAAGGTAGGAGAGATGCAACCACCAAATTTTACTTCCACAACTTATCGTGTATAGCGTTTACAAGCTTTCTGCCGCAATTTAGACGGTGCTTGCTTCAATTTGTTCTGAGAAAAAACTGAACTGCACTCAAATTCTGTCCTTCACGTTGGTAGATACGTGATAATTGTGCAGTTGTACATAATCCAGGTAAGGTAACATGAGAATGCATGATGGGAGCAGTTTTAAGTATGTATATATTGTCTGTGGGACGCATTGGAAACACCACTTGACCGAAAATTAGAAATAAAAACCAGAACCCGGCGCTTAACTAATACTTTAAATGAAAAACGATGCCGGAAAAAAATGCCAGTTAGGACGAAACTAAGGTAGATATTGGGGAACCCACTCGATGCTGAAACAATGTGCGATACTAAAAAACAACGAAGTGCTACTTTGTATGGATTTATGCGGTTTTAGTATCGTTCCAGGTTGAAGAAAGGCTGTTCTTTAACTTTGCCGGGCATTCAGTCATACGGAAGAAGCAGTAATTACGCATTTATATATGCTTGAGTTTCCTATAATGATCGAGAAAGTGTGGGTTTGGAGCTAACTATGTTAGGGAGTTACAAGTGAATATCAATCAACTATCGCAGAACTCTACGTGTTACAAGCATACGATGCGAAATCATACAAATGTTTGAACGCTACTATTAGCAACCACGTGTACACGTGGTATGTACAACTTTGAGAGCTACAGTGCACCTCAAAGAATGCGTTTGAGAAAGAATGTCATGAATTTGGATACCAATATAAATTTTAAACATACGGACTTTAGGACCGTACGTATAACGTACCTCACACCAGCTGTAACGCAACGTTTTGTAACCCCACTCGTAGCAATAAAACACTTTAACAAGACACTGCTTTAATTACCCTCCTATGTAAATTTTCATTGTTTTTTGTTTCTGTTTGTTTTGAATACAGTATTCCTGCTGAGTCCAAAGCTTTTATTTCTCTGCTGCCAGTGTGAGTGGACTTGTTATTTTATTATTGCTACCACCGTTTTGGTGATGATACTTCAAAGAATTATCAGTAAGGCTATCCTGACATATGTATCAAAGTGATTTTCATATTTTTTGCTGAGCTCGAAAAGCGCAATGCCTCAAACAGGACTGTTAATGATGTTAAAAAGTTTTGGAGTGGGAGCAGCAAGCTCAACTGGATGACACGGACACGCTTACATCTAAATCAAACCTTAACAATCGGTTGGATTTGTTCAAAGAATATAGAGTCTCCACAGAAAACAGAAGTCCTTTTACTTCAGTGTTATATTACTGGAGTAGTGAAATATGCAGACCGCAATAGTAATACATGTGACACGGAAACTTCATAGAGAAACCAAAAGTATGCACTTCCTGTATAGATTTGATACATCTCAAATGGTCCGTTAACAACTGTTGAGTGTTGCAACGAGGCTAACATTATAATTCCGAGAACTGTTGTCATTTCTATTGTCAGTAGCTTAAAATTTATTGAGTGTACACAGCCGCAATATCCATTTCCCACTTTATTGAGGAAACACTAACTAGGCTTTTTGAAAAAGGGGTAAGTCAGTTTGCGAACTTCATGAATCCTACTGACTGCATTTTGTTCAATTATTACTGAAACAAAACTACTATGGGACTCATATTTACACGGAGGATGTAATGCAAGGCTCATTCATGCAACTATCGTCCTTCTTTTGGCTCAATTTCATCATACATATATTAATAGAATTGTTTGTCACTGACTTTAGGACTCACCAAGGAACAGTCTTGTAAAATTAGAGCGTTCTGATAATATTTTTCACCTAGGTTGGGAGAAGTGACCATCGAAGCTGGGAGATTTAAAAAGACTGCCAGTGTTTGATCTTATGGAGGTGAATTTGTGACTCCAAATCACATTTAATGACACAGATGCTGTCAGTGTAGTTGAAGATTGAACGATCAATTCATGGTTGTTTGCTCAAACACAACTTCCCTATATTTTTGCGGAGGCGTCAATACACCAGTCATCGTCTCATCGGTCGCTGTTCAGAAAGGACTTAGAAAAAACTGTCAGAAGTAATATCGTGATTTATTGTTGTAATATAACATACTTTCTCTTTCTGTTACTCCGCTGCTCCTATTCATCTTCTGGTCGAGGTCGAACAACGCTGCATCTAAACTGAAATGAAGATGGATTCCAAACCATTTAACTCATAACCACTCAAATTCCATGAACGATTCAATTCTACTATTTGAAAACGCTGGCGAACATGCTGTAAATGAGTATTCATGATCTGAAATGAAGAAGCAACTGGTTTTCAAACAGTTTTCGACATTTTACTGAACTTGCGAATACAGTCCTCCATGCAAACACAAATGGCGCAAATGGAGAGCTCTGGAATCGACCTCGGCACCATTTGATGCAGTAAAACAACCCAACATGACCTTATCTAGTTTTCGCCTCCACGATCAAATTTCTTTCCTGTTATAAAACTACGATAAGACTGCTGAAAAAGTGGGATAAATATATCACTGATCTCAACATAATACATCGATAATCTTTAAGCCAAGGGTGCTGTTCACAACAAAGTTATATAGGAGAATGGACTTCAAGCTTTATTTTCCCCAGATATTTGTAATACATCCATCTGATGTCTGGGTTTTTTGTTAATGCGAAAACAATATTTCTATATTTCTTTATTTGTTGCACAAACAGACTTTAAAGCAGACTGTTCCGATGGACTCTAATGTCAGAAAGAACAACCACACTGTAAATTCATCACACCAAATTATGTGCAATTTATATGATAACTTATCCATGCCTGTACAATTGGTATGTTCCTGCATGAACAGGAAGAAATATATATTATTATTATTTGTTCTTAGACCTTAGTTATTATGCCGATTATATGTTGGTGTTAGAATAAAGAATTCTCGAGTCGCCAGTCTGTGTTCTGGTTTCTGCGTCCGTTAGTACCAAGCGTTTCTGAAGGGCTTCGAGGGACAGCGTGAGGCCCAGCGTAGCAAGAGCTGGGCATTAACGGTTTTTGAGACGTGACTGACAGATGCATTCATTAATCTAAGCAACACCTATGTTTTTTTCCTGGTTGCTATTTGTTCTCCCTCGAGTGTGTGCTCACTTGGGTTCTATTTAGTTTCTTATTTCTCGACCTTTGTGTGCCACAAGGAGTGTGGTAACTTGGCAGTTGAGTGAAAACTCTGTGTTAGAAGTCAGCTGGTCCAGATGACACCTAGTCTCGATAGAACGAAATGCTACATAAGTGGATAATAATCTCCAAAATGTCACTAAATGATAATCGTATTTTTTCATTTGATTCTTGAGTGAGTGAAAAAAGAGCTACCTTACAGTAATCTCTTCTCTAACCTGGGATGATTTTCTCATTATGTTCATCCCATCTTACCTCATCAGTTAGTTTTGCGTACCCCATAACCTAAACGTTAAATCAAAAAGTATCTGATAAAATATATTTTACTTACCAGCTATATATAAAATTTTCCAAGTGTGGAATGTAGCAGCTTGAACTGCTGCTCTTATGCGCTGGGTTTTCTGCTTAAATTCAGCCAGCCGGCATTTGTCGCTGCAGCCACCTGGTATGGCAACCCACTGCAGTGCTTAACGGTTTAAACAACTATTAACAGCATTCCCTGGGTAATGTATACACTTTCTCAATTCCTTAAATTGTCTGGATATGGTAAGCTGAAGAAGAAACCGTGAAACAGAAACCAGTGACATGGACATAAGAAACAGTAGGAATCGAGGCAAATGAGATGAGTGACCTCTATCCCTGAAGTACTGTAGTGTGAAATACTTATCTAATGCCTTACGTGTCTCCAAATTACTTAATTTTTGTCACTTTTGACATGCAAGACTTGCTTATGTATGTATACTGGTATATATCGCTGTGAATTTTGCCTGTGAAAGCATTCCCTACACGCGTCGGTGGTACAGTGGTTACGAACCTCACCTAATATACACACAGTCCAGGGTTCGATCCCCTGCCCACTCACACCTGATATCAATGGTCGGCCTGCAAAATTTGGGCTACCGATATCACATGCTGAAAATTCCATACTCGTACCGAAAATACTGTTTGGAATCAAGCTTTAATCAAGGATGAATAAATAAATAAATACAATGCTTATATTTTGATTGCACTGACGGGTGTGTAAATATAAGAAAAAGGTTGATCTAGTTTTATCAGTTTTTGAAAATACTTCCACTACGTGCCGATACCCCTGCCTAATACGAAGTACCACTAGTGGTCTATGAAATACTTTTTACTACATTAGCGAATGACCAACAGGCCATTATCATATACAAAAGTGAAATCGAGGTTCTCAACAGGGATTTGTCAAAAATAGGTCACCTTGATATTATTATGAGGGAAAAATTGTGCTCGAAACGTCATTGGAAAATATTACTGTATAACACTGTGAGACGATATCAAAAATAAATTTTACACATAATGGAATGATACTCTACCACAGTGCAAAAGTTCTATTCTTATGTCTAGGTCCTACGTTACTTGCCATTTTGATTTTGTCACCCGTATCACTGGTGGTTGCGAAGTATGTTAAGTAGTCATTGATCTCTGCTCCAATATTTCTAGGGCATTTGACATGGCATCTCACAGCATTCTTTCTGAGAAGCAGTGCTTATGTGGAATTCACGATCCATCGCTGAACTGGTTAAGGTCATTTCCAAACGACAAAGCACGAATAACTAAAGTCGAATCCGTATTATCTCATTCTAGGCAGATCACAAGTGGGGTTGTGCAGGGTAATTTCCAGGGGCCACTTATCGTTTGCATTGCCAGCGTTTATGACTTCTTCATATTGGGTAAACAATTCTTATTTGCTGACTACCTTGTAGTCGTTTACTCCTGCTACAGTCATGAATTATGCGATATGGTGAGCGAAATACGTCTTGAACTAAGTAGCCTCGCAACATGGTGTGCTGAATCCTGTATGAAGTTTAGCATTGACAAATGAGGCTTGATTTGAATCGGCGACAGTACCCTTCACCTAACTTTTGAAGTAAATGGGTGAAAACTAGTCACGCTCAACCCACTTGCAGATCTCGGTATGATATACTCTAGTAATTGAATGTCCTCTGAACAAACTGATTATATTAGACGAATAATACACAGGCTCCTAGGATGCATAACTCTCAATTTCTTTTGTTGTGAAAATATGGTTCTATTATACAAAGTATTTGTCCTACGTATTTAAGAATACTACCTGTTTATTCTCAGTGGACTGCGGCAGAATAACAAACTTAAATCAGAGGTTGTGCAACGGCAGTTGACCTCAAGAACTCTTGGTTTAGAAAGTGGTGCTGAATACTCTGAGCGCTGTGACAGACCAAGATTGGAAACACTCCGGAAATGATGTCTTAGACCCAACAAACGGAATGTAAGCCTAAAAAAGAACTATACACGCGTTGCGGCAGGTCCAATAAAGAAGACGGAACACGTGAATAAAAGTATTCTTCTCCAGACTGAGTAATAAACGGACTGTGGGCTACAGACTATGCGAGATGAGAGCTAACAGTAAAAATAGCTTTATAGACACAAAATCACATGCCAGCATGCGCGAAAGGGGCGCCGGGCTGATCAAACAGCCGAGGTTATAATATGCCTATAGACATATATAGCCTGAGAAAGGGACCCATAATGAATATTAAAAACGCACGGGTGACTAGATGGGACACCACTAGGTTCACTCAACATCTGCAGTAACAAACGCATTCCCGCACATACTACATTCTTTTTTATTTTTTTGTTTTTGATTACAGCTTGATTCCACACTGAATTTTTCGTTACAAGTATGAAATTTTAAGCATGGATATTAGTAGCCCAAATTTTGCAGGCCGACCATAGATATCAGGTGTGGGTCGGCAGGTGATCGAACCTCGGACCATGTGCATGGTCGGCGAGAGTCCCAACCACTGTGCCACCGGAGCACATTTGTCGAGTTATTTTAACCTAATAATGGCCTCCAATGCATTACCTACAACATCACGCATCATATCGTGGCTACCAACCTTTACAAAACCATTGCCATTATCCTCGGAACAATTCGGAGCCGTTAGGGAAGTGTTTAGACGTATGAGAGAGATGGAGATGATACGACTGTCAGGCAGCCAGTGATCCTCCTCCCTACACATGGTACCCAAGAACAGCGGGTTAGGTTGGAGACCTCACGGTGACTATCGCAGGCTAAATGCACAAACTATGCACCCTGATGATGTTCCAAAGAGTTTTGTCGCATGATCTCTTGTCACTAGTTGCAGATTTCTTGGTACTTTTGCCTAATGTCAAAACTAGGTGAATCATTTTGGGTGTGATCATCCTTGTAGGGAACTGTTGAGAACAGTGCCGCAGAGACAGAGGTGGGTGTCCTTAAAGCCTCCACAGCTGTATCCGCTGCTTGTGCTAGTTTTGTTATGGACGACTCGTAAAAAGGTACATGGACACCTTGCACAGTATGTTGTAGACGCTGAGGTCATAGCTGTTTCACAAAGGCTTCGTCAATCTGGGAATCAGTGACTAGCTGTTTCATCTGATGAAGGATTTAAGAGGGTATACGGTCCCCAATCTCACACCACGAAACAGTTCTTGTACCTTTTACTGACCCGTCAGTGCGATGCACGTAATAAGGACAGCTTTGAGATGATAGAACAATTTTGGAGCAGGATCGTTCAGGAGTCTGAAAGGACTTCCATAACACTTTCTGGGAGACCTTGGCCGGGTTGGCTTGTGTCACCTGTGCTTGAATGCGTATTTCGTGTTCAGTGAAGTATACTCTCACATTAATGAATTTTCTGCGGGGCGAGTTTAATTCGCGCACATAAAACGGTGACAATAAATCGTAAATTCGATCCATATAACAAGGAGTATTCAGTCTACCTGCATCTCATAGGAGCATGAGAAAGAATGTGAGGAAAGTTACTATAATGCTATAATTTCCATCCATAATCAGTTATGAACAGCTATATCTAACGTCAGAGAAATGGATAATTACTTAAATGTTTCCTCAGTATTTCGACTGGATAGCAAAATTTGCCGATGCTTAGGTTATGTGGCTCAATTGTGTTAGAGCGTTGACTTAATCAGGCTTCTCTGGATTCCCAGATATACACCCCCGGGCCTCTTCAGTAGGTGGAGTCGGCACCAGATGTTGAATGTCTACTGATCTTAAAGATAACCCAAGTTGACATGATGTGAGGAATTTCATAGGGGCTAAATAGGACTGTGCCAAAACCTGATGTTTAGGAATGACGTACCTTCCTAAGCGAGGAAGATGGTTAACACATTCAACCTTTTCACTATTTGCATTTGAACTTTGAGGCGGTTAAGATAAGTTCTCCAATGTCGTTATGT